AGGCGTGGTTAGCATCTCCCGAAGTGCTCGTGTGGCAGCACGTTGCGGCTTGGGTTTCCTGTCGTTAACTTGGAGCTCCTGGGCGATGGCCTGCACGCGCGTGTCATTGATCTCGGGCGGATAAGCCGCCTCTCTGCCAGATTGCAGAACCGATGCATAACCCAGCAGGAGCGACGGGGATTGCCAGTGCGTGCCCGTATGGTCAAGCGGATCTCCTCGCGCCCGTGTCGCCGCCAGTGGCGCATCATCAAACTGGCCTTCCATGAGGGAGTGTCTCCATTCGGACTCCAGCCGTCGGAGGCGGTCAAGAATGGTAGTGTGATTAGAGAACGTGACTAGCGCGGCTCGTGCATAGGCAGCAGCGCACGAATGGAGCAACAGTGGGATATGAGGGCCTCCCCATTCGCCGATCTGGGCCCAACCTGCCGAGGTGAGCATGCCAAGAGGGGCTCTGAAGACCTGCGCCAGAATCCCCAGTTCCAGAGCAGCGTGCCGTTGAGGGAGCGGAACACATTTGGCCACGTAGGAGACCACAGAGAACACCCTGGAGGAGTACAGTACACCATTAATACTAGCTGGGGCAGCCCCAGACCCAAGTAAGCGAGCCCGCAATTTGAGCTTCTGCAGCGGGGCGAGCCACTGCATGTCAATCGTGACGGCGGGGCCCAGCAGGAGGCCCAGGTAGAGGATCTGAGAGGTCACTTCGAAGGCGCTCCAGGCAGGGACGAGGCGTTCCACAAGAGACATAGTGTGGAGCTGGAGGGGCTCGGAGAACTCCGCCTTGAGCGGGACGATTTTGCACTTAATGTGTTTAAGCTTCAGCCCTGTGAGACACTCAGTGACCGCCATCACATCATACAGAACTTGTAGGTGCTTTGCTCCATACACAACCGCCCCAATATCATCAGCACACGCCCGAGCGATACCATATCCAGGAGTCTCCAGAGTATCTTCCAGCGCACAGAGAAAGGGGGCTGTGCCGAGGGGGTATAGGCTCCCTGAGAGCCCACATCCTTGGATAATCCCAGATCTCAGCCAGTATATAGGGATAATCTGGCCAGCGTGGGCCACGACTCCTTGAATAGCGAGGTACAGCCACGAGAGGAACCACATGAGAGGCCCAGGGAGCCCAAGCTTATTCATCAGCATCAGCAGGTATTCTTGGGAGAGACTGGGGAACGCCTGGCCATAATCAAACGAGATCAAGAGGGGGTCGCACAGGTCAGAACGAGGGTGAGCCGCGGCTAGCCTTCCTATGCCGTCAAGTTCGATCACATTGTAACCGAAGTTACGGCCGACAACAAACCCTCTTTGCGAGCGGGGGACCACCTCCTCCACCACTTTCCGAAGCGAGCGATTGACGACAGAAGTCGTGATTTTCAGGTCGGTGTTTCGGAGTCCCAGCACCCGAATTTTGTCAGCAGACCGCGTACAGCCTCCAGAGGCTTCGTCTTCTTCCTCCGAACCTTTGGGCAAGAAGGCCTGCAGCGTGACGCTCGCGGCATCGAAGAGAGTCCCACCACTGAGCACCCAGTCGAGAGAGTTGCACAGCACGTCGACGCAGCACTCAGAGGCATTCCAAGCTGCATATGGGATGCCGTCCACCCCAGGTGCGGAGTGCCGTGCACCTCGCACAGCACGACGTATAGCAGCTTTGGTAGGAGGTGGGACTTCGCAATGGATGGGGACATTCAGGTGATCCTGGAGGTAGGCCTCTATGCGGGGGGCTGGGACAGAGCCTCGGGAGAAGACGGGGCGCCAGTAAGTACTCAAAGCTTGGAAACGATCTTCAGGGGAGTGGGATAAGACAGGTCCTGTCCGCACCTTCTGCAAGATGAGACGGCGAGAGAAGGGGGCCCAGATGGCCGCCTTCCGTTCCAGAAGCTGCTGGCGACGGCGGGTGGAAAGAGGGCGATGAGAGGCAGAGAGACCTGCGACATGATCAGCATTGGCTTGCAGTTCTTTTTCCAGAAGCCGCATGTGGACCCCGTCTGACCACAGATGAAATGATTCAGGGTGTCGAAGGCGAACTTGTGAGCCTTCAATTTGCAGTGCGTCTGATGCCCACTGCGATGTCGAAATAAGTCGCCGAGCCAGCGGAGCATCTTGCCTCCATACGGCACGAGCGCAGCTGCGGGCCACGATGGTCGCCGTCTCATCACTCTCCGCCTTCAGCGTGAAGAGCATGTCACGCACCTCCCGCGCAGCTTCTTTGAGCATCTCTTTGAAATGCTCCTGATAAATAGAGCCAGCATGCGCATAAATAGCGTTCTGGCCATCAGCAACCATCCCCTCGATGCGCTTCTTGAAGAGCGGGTCCAGGAAGATGTGCCGCGGGATAGCCTGTTCACCCCGAGGCCTGTGATGTCGCTGGCGCAACGTTGTCACCAGCGCAGCATGATCAGATATTTGAGCACGAGACAAAGCCTCTGGCTCCCCAACTGTGGTGGATTCAGCATGGACTTGGCACGTCATCCATCCAGGAAGTGAGCAAAAGAAC